CAATAATTCAATATCAATATGTATCGCGATATAATTTTTTTCAATAACGGTGATATGATTTTTAAACACATTTCCGATATTTCGATATACATTACCACTTTCCCATACATTGATTTATTTGTGCCGTTTGACTTCGTTGAATAAACATGAGCACTGCACGTTTCAAAATCAAAAAATGTCGCGGGTGTTTTATATAAATGTATCTGTGAAGGGAACCGACTGTCTTCAGAGAACATGCTTCACAACTCCTTATTCAAGCTCTTGTTCTGTCCAGGCTGGACTATTGCAATGCTCTCTTGGCAGGTCTTCCAGCCAGTTCTATTAAACCTTTACAATGAATCCAGAACGCAGCAGCAAGATAAATTTTTAATGAGCCAAAAAGAATGCACGTGACGTGACGTGACACCTCTGTTTATCAATTTGCACTGGCTACCAATAGCTGCTCGCATAAAATTCAAGGCAATAATGTTTGCCTACAAAACCACCACTGGCTCTGATTAAGCTAATTGAGACTTGCTATATCACTCTGTAGTGGGCAGCACATTCCAGGGCCCAGTTTATGGCGGGGGCCCTCTCTGACCACAATAGTGGACAAAGGTTTGCTACATTTTGATTGGATCTTGGTGGACTAACATAAGCAAACTGTCCAACGCTATCAGATAAAGATGCCAGGACAACAGCCAGACACCTCTTAGAGGGCAAGAAGACGACCATTGGTACAAAGCCCGTGAAGGACAGGACTTCTCATTGGTCAGAATGCAGTTTCTGCCCTTCACCCACCAACAGACTGATTCCTAAGGCTTTGGCCTGTGACCGCCATAAAAATTCCTTAGGACCTCTGGACGCAGCAGCGGTGGGTGAAACAAAGAGATATCCAAATCCATTCATAACTATGTTCTCAAACCTTAAGCTGATACAAACTACAACACACACATCTCATACTTATTCAGAGAAATAAGTATTCTCAGTGACAGCGATGTGTAGTGCAACATCTTACACAAACTCGCTGTTAATGGACAAACGAATGCATGCATGAAAGTTCAATTTTCTTCCATCATGTTTGGACTTAATGTGTTCGTAACATTGCCAAATGTATTCTGGTTGTGGTTTGGTAAGTGAGAAATGCACCGGTAAAACTTTAGTGACACTTTTCTAAATGTGTGTTTGGACTATGCAAATAAGTTCCCCAGGAGAAAAGAAGGGTGGGCCACACCGTGTTCCCCCAGTCTGATGGAAACAGCCAAACAGCCAGCCAGCCTGGAAATGGAGAAGCGCCAGATTGCAATCTCCTCCTCATCGGAAAGAGATAAAGACACCTTCCCAATAGACACACCTTGGTCTGACTCCGAGTCCCGAAAGGGAAGGGATACTAACAGATCAACAAGTTCTGAGTCTGAGCCCCTCAAGGGTGAGACAATAGCAGATACACTGTTCTGAGTCTCCGGCCTGCAAGGGTGAGACACTAGCCAGATACTCTCGTTCTGAGTCTCCCATCCCGAGAGACAGAAACATCAACGTTCTGAGACTCTGGCCCAAGCGGGAAGAGGCATTAACAGATAAGTCCCGAGTCTCCAGCTTGTGAGGCAGCAACAGATACGACCACGTTCTGAGCCTCTAGCCTGTGAGGAGAGAGATATTCTACGTTTAGAGTCTTCATCCAGCGAGACAACAACAGATGCAGCACGTCCTGAGTCTCCATCCTAGAGAGACAAAGCAGATTGACCAAGTTTTGAGTCTCTAGCCCAGAGAGGCAAAAGACACACAGACATTTGCAACAAGGTTAAGCTCCGGAGAGCAACCCTTCACTTCAAGGTACTTTTGCTTACGTGTTCCAGGCAAGGACCTTCTGCACCTACTCCAGGGCCACATCTGCGTGTTCCAGATTTTAGGACCCTTTGGTGCTCCAGGAGATCAGCATCCTCCAGCGCTTCGTGTTCAACGCTGTCGAAACGGATTACTGCTCCCTTCCCCACTGCATTGTTACAAGCACAACTAGTGGAAGAAGTCACCACCACCAGACTGCTCACTCGATCGCAGAGAATGTAAATATCACTTATCCAAACCTCTTCCAGAGACCTTGGCATTGTTGTGTATTACCAGTATATGAAATTCTAATTTACATTAGATGTTATGTAGCTGATGTCAGTTGATAACAAATGATTTATTTATTTGTTTGATACATAATAAGGTTCTTCATAACAGTTTATCTATCCAGATAACGTAGCTCTGACATAGCAACACCCAACATAATCACTTGCATTTTATGCATCTTATGCACTTTATTCCTATTTTTTTTTTTAGGAGCACCAGTGCAACTTACCCGATCATCATCATACTTGTGATTGCGCTGAGGGAGCTTCAAAGGTTTCTACGTGTTTTTGCAGCGTTGAGTGAAGGTGCTCCTAAAATTTTGAAAAGAAAAGTAAGCGTAGGGCCCTGCACTCTTCCGTATGTGATGTACTCGTAACCACACCTTAAGTGACATGTGATCCAAATATCATAACGTCATTGGTGACGTGAGTACCCATCACTACACTATTTCGCCTCCCTAGGTTGGCAAAAGCAAAATTCACTACAGCTTGCATATCATTGCTGTTTTGTTGATTTTGATTGCTTCCATTGTCCTCATTTGTAAGTCGCTTTGGATAAAAGTGTATGATAAATTTAAATGTAATGTAAACAAACTACCTTGCATGCATGTAAACCTGTTTAAGGAGACTCATAAAACAATATTAGCAACCTTAAAAATTGCATAATAGGGGCACTTTAAGACATCACTAACAGGTAAAGTAAAATATAATGAAGTATATAACCTAGTCTAATATTTCTCAAAATGCTCTTCTCTAGACTTCATTTCTCTAGCAGATAATGAGCTGTGGACACTGATGACTTGCCTGAGGTAAATGAAGTTGTTTTAATGACGTCTTTCTGCAGTTGAAACACTGATTGAGTGATTACGTGAGGGGTGACATGTTCATTCATGTTTAATTCGCATTAAAACTAGTAGTAAAGAAGAAATGATCGCGTTCACTCACGCTCTGCGCTGCCGTCAGATCTGAGGTGTTTATACAGCGATTTGTCGCGCCATGTCAAAGAGCGCCAAAACATTTATTGTTTGAATTTCCTGAAAAAATGGAATGATTTGTTCGGTACACATGTGTACCGAACCGAAAGACCCGTACTGAAAATTAATACGTGTACTGTTACACCCCTTCAGTGATTAATTCCACATTTCCACATGTCTGCTTCATGACTCAGGCCATGTGGATTCCTCTTCCAGGTCTCTGTTTGACAGAACGTAAACAATCACTTCATATTTACTGAGACCTTTAACTGTAAGTCTAGTGACATTTTAGTTGGCTGAAGTGCTGTCAGCTGAAGTACTGTGAAATTACATTCATCTGTAGGTGTCTTAGTTACAGCTGGTGTCTGAGTAGGGATATTAATACTGTTCTGTATTATTTAATTTTTGTTAGTTTACATGAAATATCCGAGAAGTCAAGACTCATTTTCAGCATTTTCACTGATTTTAGTTTGTAAAATAGTTTTTATTATTTTTTTTATTATTTTTTTTATTATTATCTGAATAATTTCCAGGAAACTCTAGGAGCTGTTAAGTAATGTTGGCAGCTAGATTCTGGTGTAATATAATAGATTCACCTGTTTGTTTGTTTTTTAGATGGTTAGGCTGGGAAATAAGCTAGTGGACTCTCTAATAATAGTCTTGTGTAGCCAGACCTTTGACTGGACCTCAAGGTTTGATAAATATTGCCATTTCTGTTTTTTCAGCATGTCATGTACATCCATGTGCTAGATTTGTCTTAAAAATACTTGAAGTAAAATAAATTTAGCATCCAAAATCTCACACATTTTTAGGACTGAATTTTGCTGCTAAACATCAATATGCATGCACAAAGACCCTATAAAACAAGAAAAGTCTTCTTATGGTTTACAGATCAAGGCAAACCAACCCATGTGTCTTTGAGTGTGTAACAGTGATTCAGCATGACGACAGAATTTGCTGCTCTATAGCCGTATTTATTAAGCCAGATTGGAGAGACGGGTGGTATATAGAGAATGAGAGAGAGAGTCTGTGACAGGAGACGGGTCTCTCTCTCTCTCTGACTTGCTCACACACACCACAGTACTGCACCTCCATCCTCCTTCCTCTGATTGAAACCATGGCAGATGGGGTGCAGCAAATTGGAAGGCAGAATGGTGCTGATCCGAAGCTTGGCTTTTCTCTCTCTGATAAAAATATTAATTTTCAGCATGGGCTCAAACTGCTGATCGGGGGCAAGTGTGTGCTGCTGGGATGATGAAGGCTTTGGAAAGACAGCCAAAGGTCCATGTCCACTTGAAGCCTCTAAGAAGTTCCTCACGGTATACTTACCTGCCTCTGCTCAGGAAATTAAAGAAGAAACAGAGAAATGGAGAAGAGAATGATATTGTAGAGGCACACATTTTTTTCATTGTCTCTCTGTTCCCATGCTTCTGTTCTACTTTTTATTTTCCAATTTACCTTCTTGCTCTGCCCTGAGCCGTTTTACAGACTGGTTCAGAATGAATGCATTCATGCATTTGATGTCACTGTGCTTTAGTCTTTCAGATGGACGATGTTCTCCTGGTGTTGCAGGATTGTATTTTATTGAGCTTGAGGGTGGTCAGTCTCTTAGTCTCTGTGTAAGAGTTTTGCTTAGTGCAGTGGTGCCAGACACTGGGTTTTGGGCTGTGCTTCAGTTTCTACGTTTTTGATCAAAAATTTCTGCATGCAGTTTCGTGGCCATGTGAATTCCAGCTAACACAGCAGCAGCTTACGGCTGCTTGGTTTTAATATTCATACAGACCTCTTTGTATCCCTGTGAATATACAACACTATGCTTTTTATTCTGAATCACCCTCAGTTGTTTTTTTTCTTATGCACTTTTTCACTCATGAATCCCTTGTCTTAATCACTTTCTCACCTTTTTTCTTTCTGTCTTTCTCTCTGTCTCTAAAAGTTAACTTAAGTGAAAGCGATGGCAGTGATGCCGAGCTCAGTGAATGCAGCAGTGACAGGAAGACCTTCATGTCTGAGACCGATCAAAGAGATTCTGGTAATACACAACTCCTGGAAATTCACTGCCAAATATACACGAACACTCCCCACCCACCCACACAAACTCGTATGAACTAATACAACTCCATCTGTCAGATCTACCACGTTTTACAGAAAACACAAATCCCCCTAAAGCTTAGTTTTTTGTTTGTTTGTTTGTTTTAAAGCTTGATGGACAACATAAGCTATTTTTAATTTTTTTTTATTTTTTATTTTTTATAAAATCCCACTTTGAGCAAAAGATTGCCTTTATATAACAGCTTTGTTTTACTAGTGTTCCCCAAGTGTATTGTAAAAAAAGAACAATAATGACTGTTTGCATATAGGTTTCCCAAAAATCTTCAGCTTAAATTTTGATTTTGAATTTAGAATTGTATTTTATTATTATTTAGTTTTTTTGTTTGTTTTTGTTTTTTTTAAAATTGTGAACGTCTTTGTGCACTCAGAATCAAGTGGAGGCCAAGTGCAAACCCCCCTGCAGTCCAGCATCACCAGTCCAACTCGAACCAGCTTTCACATGGAAAGCCCTTCCAGCTTGGCCAGCGAGCGAAGCAGCAGCAGTTTCAATCCGGGTCTGGAGGAAGAGGTCATGGACCATAGTCGACCTTTACTAAGTGAGTGCCCACATACACGATTACTTAGCTATCTAAATGGGGACATTCCATAGACTTCTGTTTTATATATGCAACACACACACATATATATATATATATACATATATATATATATATATATATACAGCTTGTTATAAATACCGTAACCTAACCATAACTCTAGCATAAAACTTGCTGGATTTTTACAAGTAATTTTTTTAAAACCATTTTTTACAATTGGAGAAGCCCCCAAAAGAAGCCTTTGACACATTTGGCTCACTCCAGGGCACAAATTTGTCCCCAAAATATGGTTATGTACACACACGCACACACACACTCGCCCACACTTGTCTTTTTCTCTCAGAGCCAAGTAACTCTTGACAGCTGTACACTAAATAGGGTGGTGTGTCCTCTGTCCTTTTTTGAAATACTTCGATTGATTCGCCCTTGTCAGTATTTGCTATTTCAAGTATCACTATTACTATTGCTCATACTTTATTCCAAAACCTTATTATCTACATTGAAGAGGAAACTGAGACTTGGTGTTGGTTGTTTTGGCTTGTGCTAGTAAGCAGTTACACAGAACAGCTTAGCAACCACATAGCAATGTACTGAAAACCACTTTAGCAACCATATAGCAACTCTCACAGCACACTGGTATTTAGTTTCACAGAAGCAAGCAGATTACTTTAGAAAATGCAACAATCTTCTCATATGTTGTTCATGATCCTAAATGTAACATAGGACTGTATGTGCGGACATGTGTCAGTGTTATGCAGTCTCATTAGTAGTTTGCAGGATGGATTTACAGTAAACATGGAAGTATTGAACATTTTTATTAATAGATGAAAGCATTGTCATATTAGACAATGGATTTAATAAATAACAGTGTAAGGAATATCAGGTTGATCAAGCACTCTTAAAAACAAAGGTTCAAAAAGTCGTTTTTCGCAGTGGAGAAACATTTTGGGTTCCCAAAAGAACATTTCAGTAAACAGTTCCTAAATAAATCCTTTTTTCTTCTTAGTGAGAAGAGCATTTTAATACTCCAAAGAACCTTTTTACACTCTAAAGAACCTTTTGGATGTTAAAGGTTCTTGTAACCATAGATGCCAACGCCAAACCTTTATTTTTAAGATTATAATAGAGTGCGCACATACTAGGTTTCTTAAAATGTAGAAGTGATTCTTTTAAGATGGCACCTTTAAGATGGTCTTTCTGAGATGTTTAGGAGCCCTCTGTCGCTTTTATTTGCCCTTAATATGACCCTTGTCTTTTTCAGGTTGAACTGTATACTGTGTGTTTGTGTAGAGTCTTTTTTTTTTTTTTTTTTCAAGCGAAAATTGCTTTTGTGTGTATCTGTCATTATTAGCTGCTTCATTGTCCACCTCTGTATCTCTCTTCTCTGCCTTAAGGAGCTTAAATTCCCACTTTCTCAAAAAGAAAAAAACAAATAGCCCTCATTATTCCAATGATATTGTGCGTCTTGCTCGAGCGCTCTCCAATTTGTACCACTCACTTTCAGAGATAAGAACTCTCCCCTACGTTGCCTCTTCGCAGGCTTCTGCAAGCTTATCATGAGGCGCGATATCTTCCTGCCCTCTGTGGTAATGATAAAACTTTCAAATGTCGATGCACAACATAAAGGAAACCAAATTAAACCCTTTTACTGTCATAGTAATGGGCTGAGCACTGAAGTTGTGTGTCCCTGCTGCTTTGATTGCCATTTGTTTTATTCCTCTTCTTCTTGCTGGGAGTTTATGACAGCCCTCAGAACCATTTGCAGAAAAGTTGTCAAATTTGGCACACTGATTTTGGTGGGCCTGAATAGTCCCCTGACTCATTTGTGGGTCTCTCAATCAGAGCCTTTAGCAAAACTAAAAATTTTCTTCGGCTTCAGACTTTTAAACCATTTGATCTAATAACAAAAGTCTTTCTTTGCTTGCTTTCTTCATCTTGAGTTAACTGAATCGTGTGTGTACAGTTCTCTTTCAAAACACAATCTTCACATGATGTTCAAACTAGGGCTGCACGATATTGGAAAAAACTCCCATTGCGAGATTTTGTTTTTCTGCAATATATGCGGGGGGGTGGAATCAATGATTGGGGTGATTTTGTAGGTGAGAAAATCAGTATAGAAAATAAACAAATTACAAGCATAGATAAATATAATAGAACAAAAATACTAATGAAATGAACAGTGCTTTATATTTTTCAGGTAAGTCTAACAGTATTCAGGTACAGAAATTGAATAATCAAATGTAAAATAACACTGCAAAGTCTTCACTGTATAAATTAAATCTAATAAATCTGTGATAAAGCTACAAAATTTTCTCACAAATCCATTTTCTTTCTCAATTGTGTACCTTCACCTAAGCCATAAGTAACTGTGTTTACAAGGATACTTGCAGAGACATGCATTTTGACATAATTTTGCGCATATGTGTCATTTATAGACGCGGAAGTGAACGGAATTCAGAGTTCATGTGCATCTGCGTGGCTCTCACTGTCTACACTGGACACGAGCGGCGTGACACGGTGTCTGTGTGTGAGCAAAGAAAGTGATCAGTATAAATATAATGGTGAGTATAGTAAACATCGCACATCCTGCGATGTGACAATCGCGGATGCGCACATCGCGATATCGATGCTGAAACTATATATCGTGCAGCCCTAGTTCAAACTAAGCCTCACAAACAATCTTAAAAGCATAGTTAACCCAAAAAATCAGTTCAAAAATTTTATATACTTGCCCTCATGGCACTCCAAGCCTGTATGACTTTATTTTTTCTTAAAAACACAAAAGGAGATATTTTGAGAAATGTGTGTTATTTGTCCATACAATGGAAGTCAATGGTCACCAGAAATGTTTAGTTACCAAACATTCTTCATCCTTTTGTGTTGTGCAGAAGAAAGTCATACAGGTTTACAACAGCTTGAGGTTGAGTAAATGTTTATTTTTGAACTATGTTCTTTTGTAGTAAATGTTCATTTTTGAATACTGTTCATTTTTGAACTAGGACTAATGTGCATCTGAGGCTCCTTCTTATGTATAGTTCGAAGTCTTTTAAAATGTCACTACCCATGTTGAAACTGCACTAACTCCCTTAGGGATTTTAATATCATCTATAAATTTCATGTATCTCGACAGGTCTTGTTTATTTACAGTGAAGGCGAAATAAGGGGATGCAAATATTCCTCTGCCAAGCAGCATTTATAACAGCCAGGTCTCTGTTTGTTGTTAATCACCTCATGTAATGTGCATGCGTGCAGACACCATGCACTCTCATTCATTTTCATTCAGTTTTATGTTTGCTAGCTAGGCTATGTGGAGATGTTCTCTCATCCAAGGTTAGGCCTGTGTCTTTTTGTTTAAACCTACAGAGGCCCACACAACTTGCAAAAATAAATACATACATACATAAAATTTAAAAAAAAAGAATGAAGAAGATTTAAGGCCATGAATTAAGAATTCGTCCCAACAATTTATAAACTCTGGCCCTCGTTTTAGTTAAATAGTGACCACAATTTTCACAACCTTTTTCAGAAACATTAAAACATTGTTGTGTAAGTAATATATAAATACCTCTGTCTTGGTCACGTAGATGTATAGCATTTACAGTGTTTGCAGGAAGAACTATACTCTTGATTGGTGACAAATCAACTCCTATAATAAATGGGTTTCTAATATTGTTGCTGCTTTCTTCAAACAGCCTCCAGTATTTTAAGATCTAACAGCTTTTATCACACCGTATGATAAATCTGAAATGTCAAATGATTTACACTGGCTCATAATAGGATGGCCGATTCCTCTGTTCTCCTCTGATATGTAAAAGCTCTCTGTAAACAAGCACCAGCAACACATTGTAATAGCGGCAGTGAGATGACAGAAATTACCCGTGTCCCCTTCTCTCTCCATTTTCTCCAGCTTTCTGCTGCTAATGTGCCATGTGTCCAGTCTATTTCACTCTAGGCTGATTTGTTTTGTTTTGTTTTGCTTATATTCATAAACATCATTATTGTGTCTTTAAAATGGTTGTAAATTTAAGAAAGAAACCACGATATTTAAAAGTTTACTGACAATATAGTTTGTCTTTTTTTTTCTTGCGAGTTGGCAAATTACATCTCTCTCAGAATAGCTGTGATGTACAGTGTCTGCTGATGTAAGTTTCAAAACATAATACATGCATATTTTTATACCTACCTGCAAAAGCTACCTGAAAAACTATGCACAAGTGCACAGGGCAAAAGCTGCTTTAAATGCAAAGGATGGTCTCACCAAATGTTGATTTTAATTTAGTTAATAGAAGTTAATTGATAAAGAAAATCTATTTATGACATTATTTTTGACAGCATCCTCATTTTACAGCATTTTTACACAAGTGCCTTAAACTTTTAACAGTACTGTAGTTTACAGGTAGGCTTCTTGAAGCATCTTGGAGACGTTGCCACAGTTCTTCTGGATTTAGTCTGTCTCAGTTTGTTCTGTTTCTTCATGTGATTCCAGACAGACTGGATGATGATGAGATCAGGGGCCGGATTCATGAAAGATTCTTAAGAAGAAATTTCCTCTTAACTGCCATTTTCTTATTTTTTAACATAAGAAAAAGTTAAGAATACTTTTTATTCCCAAAAATTCTTCTTAAAGAGTAGGTCATATGGTATTTTAAAGTGTCCTAATATTGTTTTGAAGTCCTCTACAACAGTTTTAAATGCATCTAAGGTCAGAAAACATTGTAATTTTCTCAGAATATACATTTGTAGGGTTTTTCAACTCAAAAAGGGAAATATTTATGACGAATTATAACTGGTTATGATTCATAATAAATATTTAGATTAGATCTTTGAATTAACTGTAGCAGAATCAATATTACCATTACTTGATCTGTCCGTCCACCGAGCAGACAAGGGGCAGGCGGGGATTATGCAAATGTGTTACACAGTGATGTAGTTTGACTGAGTGCCAGTCAAAGTCGCGACAAAAATAGTGTGCGTGCTTAAGATTATTAGGGTAATCTGCA